CAGCAGGAAGCCCACATCGCTTCCTGTACTTGCTGTTTTATCCCATTTGCTCCCAAGTTTCGGTGACCAATTTACAGTATTTGCTGATTAAATCATGAGCCAGATAAATAACTGGTAAGTGGACGCAAGCTGTTCCAAGCTGATGTCAAAGTAATGCACAATTGTTACTTAACAGGTCAGTTAAGGTTCCAGCACCCGAGTAGCTCAGCTACTTCCTTATTTCCTGCTATTATTTAAAACGGATGTCAGCTCTCTTCTCCATCCAAAAGTTGACACTTCACATGCAGAGAAATTAAGGTCAGCAAGAAAATTAAACAACCATTAAGAGGCCTGACATATTTGTATCTAAGCTTTCCATGTACAACATGAAGCTGAGACTGCATGCAAAGTTACCATTTAAAACGTCAAAAATTTCACATCATTTCAACCCCAGCGTAAAAATTACTAAAACCTCGGGGCACCTGGAACTCCATGGACAAGTTTCCAGGTACTGCCCACGTTATAAAACGTAAGGGCAAAAAGTGACAGAATGTGAAGGTGTTACCTTCTGTCAGATTGATTGGCCTTGTGTAGTAATCCTCAGGAAGAGGTTCCACTTCTTCCACTGCATCAGCTGGCTCAATCTTGATCTCCTTCTGGTCCTCTCCTTCTTTCAGCCTGGAGCAAAGTGAGGGACAACTGGGTCATAAAATATGGCATGCGTGCTCTGACAGACAGCACCGGCAGTAAGAGCGTTATAACACAGAAGGCAGCGAGAGCTGAGATTGCAAGGCAATAGTAACTGCACAAGGACATGAGCAGCCACTTGTTTCTATTAGGAGAAAGCAAAACATCTGGAGCTGCTGCACAGAGATGCTCGAGGATTTGACATCTCTCTAACACTCCAAAGAAGAAAGCTCCTTTCAATGCTATCTGCTCATCATGTTTCTGAAGTTGCTTTACTGTTCTGTAGGAGGTTGCCTACACCTCCTATCCTTCCCACAAAGGTAACCCCAACCCTGAGACTCACGAGAGTCCAGCGAGGGCACTGATTGGTGCTCCGGGCCTCTGGCGTTGAAGCCTGGTTCCCAAGCCATATTTGTCCTACAAAGAAAAAGGGAACTGTCAGCTTCAGGTCTGCTTCCTGCCAGGACAAAAAGACCTACTGCAAACTCATCCTTTGAGCTGCATGACAAGCATAGGGAGACAAGCAAAGGAAAGCAAAAAGGGAAAGGTATTCAATGCTTCCCAAGATTTTTTTTCCTGCTCAAACTGTTAGTAAGGAGAAAACAATCACCACCACACTGCAGAGGGGGAGAGACAGATGTGGCTACTGCTTATAAAGCTTTTGCTCTTTCCTTAAATCACCAGCCTGCACTACTGACACATTTTTCCCTTTATCTTCTCTTCAGAGCAACTGCAAGTCAAGTAGTGAAGAATGAGGGCTCAGCTGCCAAAAAAACTGGGTCAACATGGGTATGAATCCATCTGAAATGCTCTGTAGCACTACTAGAAGCAGCTGGAAGGTTCAGCCTACAAGCCTTGTTCCCTAAGAGTATCTCTTGCCAGGCACACCAACTGGAAGGAATAGCTGAGCTACACCTCAGCTTTCTACAGCTGAACTGTACACAGGGTGCTTGGAGGCAGAAATCTTCCTCCTGGGCAGATCTGAAAACCGGGAGTTCTCACCAAACAAGAAATCTGAGCATCAGCCTACCCTAATGATTTTTCAAGGATCAGAAGATTAATGTTAGTGCCATTTGCCTCAGGCAGACAGACAGCTGCGTCTCAGCCAAGCTTTGTGAAGGACTGCTTTTTAAGCGTGCGTTACTTACCCAAAGACACTGCCCTGTTTGTAAGCTAACAAAATATATTTTTTTTTAACAAATGTTACCCTCTAACTAGTTAACTTTCATGTGTGTTTGTTCTAGGCACATCCAAGTCAGAGGCCCTGAGGCAAGGTGAAGAGTAGGATCTGTTACTGCCCTTCAGTTGGTACCATGAGAGCTTTAACACCAGCAGAAACTGTGAAAAGACTTACCACTACGTGTATAGTGTGTTGCTGCGGAGAGCCCCCAAAATAGCAGCAGGTAGCAACGGAGACAAAAAATGCAGCCATAAGACACAAGCAAGGGCACAGAGCAAGCACAGTTAATTGAGAAGTAGCAAGCATATGCAGAGTCACCCAGCTAAACAAAGTAAGCATTTACCTGCCAGTTACAATAAACAAGTCATCCAGGCCACAACCAAGTCTTAAGGCTAATTTCAGTTGAGACTTCATGCAGAAAAGTGCCAGACAATGCTGATCTAACTGTTATTGAGCTGTGGTATGTAACTGTCCTGAGAAAGAGCTACCACTGGTATCGTGACTGCGGTTGCACTGCATTTCACTGCTGGGTAACGCATTCCTTTGCATGGCAAGTATAAACCCTTCTGGCATTATCAGAGAGGACTATTAGAGAGAAAGGCAGTGTAACACACAGTAATGGGTGTAAAACTACTTGTCCCCAAAGAAACCCATGTGCCCTAGCACATTTTCTTCACGTTGTTCTCAATTAAAAAAAAATGCTGAGTAGCCCTATCGTGCTACCAACTATCTAATTTTCTAAGCTGAGGTTGCTGTGCATCACTTTTCCTGCCCTGAGGGCACTGTACTCCCAGCTCACCGAAAAGGCCAGGGGCATGTAGTTTCGGCGCCGCACCAGCTTCTTCCGGTCCCGCTCGATCTTCTCTTTCTGAGCCAACTGCTGGTAGTACTCAACCAGTTTGTTAATCTGGAGGGATGAAAAGGAACAGATGCCCAATGGAAGGGGAACAAATGCCAGATCAGCTGCTATTTGCTTTGTGGACAAGCTGGGGTTCCTGCTACTTGTTTCACTGTTCCTAGTACTAGCTGTATTCTGAAGGATACACATTAAAGAAGCCTGCATGTCTTAACACCCACACTGTGGGTGACAAACTGACCCTCCTCTGGGAATGACGTCTGTTGGAGAGCAGTGTCCAATTCTCACTTTGCAGTTAGGCAACTGAGAATTTGTTCACACATTTTCCATGACTAGACAGAGTAATGTCATGTGGCCAAAATTAAGCAATTTGGATTAGTGGAGCAAACAGCATCTCTTCCCCCCTCCTGAGGCTGATCACATTCAGTGTGGAGCCCTAACTGGTGACAGGGAAGGGTGGCAAAGGTGCAGCACAGTTTTCCAGATCCTAGACACCCTCTTGATCAGAAAACACCTTTTTTCACATACATACACAGCATATTTGTTGGTGTTGTTTTAACAACACTATTAGATATGAAGTTTTCAACTGAGTTTCTTCTGAAAAGGAGATTTTTATACTATGATATCCACAGGAGAGCCTCTAAGAGGCCTTCCTTCCATTGAATTCAGTCAAAGTGGAACTGGAACTGGTATGTGAAGGATTATATAGATGCAGAAAAAGTGATTGAGAGGGCCTGGTGTCTCTAACAGCTCTTTCTAGCTGATGCGTCTCTCAGCCTAAGCATGGCCTTCTCCCTCACTCACCCTCTGTGTGTGAGGATTCTCCGGCTCCTGCCAGCCACCACTAGCTGCACGAGAAAGAGAAAAAACAAAGTTCTCAGGAGAGTATTTCCAGACTCCACAGAGAAATTGCATCTAACACCCACCTATCTCGGTCTTACTCATGAAATATGACATTCCCTATTTTTGCTACACTCACTGTTGCAGTTCTTTAAGTTCACACCTGCACAAATATACACCTCTGAAAGCTTTTCACAGGCAGGTTTGGGCTCAAGGAGCTTCACCAGCTTTTATACTGTGTTTTTAAACAACTGCTGTTTGAGAGATACTCAGGACAGCACCTAAGAGTCACTTTAGCAGCAGGTACATGAGTTAACAAGAACAGTCTCTTATTACTGGCTCCCCATACCCCTGCACCTTCAGCTCTCAGTCTTCAGTCACATCAACACTGGAAGTCAAAGAGGACCTGCTTGGTCTACTCAGCCCTCTTTCTGGAGCCTGACAGCATCTTCTGCATGTCTTATGCACCAAGAAATAGATGAAAGCTTTGTTCTGGTGCTGTCATGAAGAGAAAAAACAAGTACAAACACTGACTAGTAACTCTGGAATAAGCCTAAGTGAACAAAAGTGACAGAAAATAAATTAGATGTTTATGCTGTCAGACTGAGCGGCTTCAAAGTCTCTGAAGGTATACAAACAAGATCGCAACTGTGGTGAGAGCGCACCAACTAAAAAAGCCCCTTGTTTGACAGCTTTCTCACAAGTCAGGTAACACGAGTATGGAAGCGGGTCACATGTTCCACTAACTCATCTCAGCTCTTCAGATGAGACTTCAGCGGCAAACCATTTTCCTGTGAATTTCCAACCGTGACTCAAAACCTGGACAGATATTACGTATCTCGTACAGCCAGAAACTAATTTGATTATCTGTTACCTTCAAAACACATACTGGGCTCCTGCTGTTACTCAGTTTTCTGTCTTTGACTGTCACTTACCGACAGACTTGTCTGCCATGCCCACATCCCGGGAAGTCCAGCGGCAAAATCCACAGGCCAGGTAATACGCTTTCTTCATGGTAGTCTTGGCCGGGTCATCAGGGAGTGGATCAGGAATGCTTGTGGCCCGGGTGGAAAGGGTGTGCATGCAGCAGGGGCAGTCAAAGCAGTTAGCACACCTGTAAAGAGGAAGTGCTATCAGACAGCGCTCTGACAAGGATCCCAGGCTGAGGAAAATGCTCTCAACAAGCAAATAAAGATTAAGCCAACAGACCTTTTCATCTTATGCAACAGCATTAGGGAAAAAGGGCAACAGAGCCCTGAACAGACACAGGAGGGGTTCAGAGTCCACATATGAATGGCAACAGTGAGAAATACTGGGTGATACTAACAAACCCTTTGTATTATGAGAGCAGGTCATCAAAGAAACTAGAATGTGAAGAGCACATGATGCATCATGGAAAGGCACTCATTCCCCAAAACAGACTAAAAGGTAACAAGAAGCGATATAAGTTTTGAAGAGAGTTTCAGATACATGTGATCAGGTGTTGATTAAGGAAGAAGCTGTTTAAAATAGCAAGTCTTGATGAAAAAAGCCAAAGTGACCTCACCTATTCTTTTTCAGCTTGGCTTCAGCTGAAGGCATGTTTTCCAGGCAGCTGGGGCAGTAGTGAGAGTCCACCTGATGAACAAGACGGTCACATCACTTCCTGGCACGCGTTTGTCTAGACAGCATACTGGCAGCAGCCTGAAACTCTGCCGCGCAATTTAACAAGGCTTTGTGTCTGGCAACGGACAGGTGAAGTCAGTGAAGACCTGAGACATTTTTTGGTATCTGAAATCTTATCCCATCTCAGTCAAATTTTGATCTTTAATAATGTAAGTCAGAAGGTTTCTTAAGCCAGGAGAGATTAAACCACTCCACCTAGTAAATGGGAAAAGGACAACCAGGCATTTTGCGGTTATCAGAATTTAATTTTTCAGCTTTAACAGCAGGTTTTAACATGCTATTTTCCACTTATATCTGCATTTATTCTGCCCTTGTACTTACACTGGTCAGAAATCCATGCATTTCAGAAAACGTTTTGTATCTGTCTGCTGTCACAAACTAATTTTGTTAATTAAAACAACAGCAGCAAGAAGGGGGTCCCCTTCCTGAAGAGGAAAATAAACTTACAGTTAAACAAGGCAATGCACAATGCCCCCCCCCGCCACGCTATGGAGAATTCACAACAGACACAGCCTGGTGACAAATCTATTTTCTACTCTTCAGAGGCTTTGACATTTGCGAAGAGATACCTCTTCCGAGATCTGGGTTGCACAGTCATTCTTTTATGGCTTTTCAAATCTACCGTAATTTCTCAATTCACTCACGCTTCCACAAAACCAATTTTACCAATTTTATTATGACGACCTGAGAAGTCACATGAGCAGCCCCAGGCCCAAGGCTTGTCCGGGGTCTGCGCTGCACAAAAGCGGCGCTCCCGGCAGGCCCCCCCGCGCTCGCCCCAGCCTGACAACCCCCAGCTAAAGGCTCCAGCCATTCCTGGACAAAGAACAAACCCTCCACAGCAGAAATCCTGTATAATGTGGGGGGAAAAAAGCTTGTCCAGGTGGAAATAAATTCACACCAAATACTCCCAAGCCCGGCTTCATCCTCAGAACCAGCGCCATGCTCCGGGGCCTCGGCACGCTGAAGGCGTGGGTGCTGTTATTTGGGCAGCGAGTGCTGCAAACGCCACCACATCCAGCAAATCTGGGCAAGCCCCAGGGGCCGTC